GGCACAGATCAGAGACGCCTTCATTCATAAACAATATTTTCTCTCTGTGTTCCTCGATATCGAAAAGGCTTATGATACAACATGGCGTTTTGGAATTCTAAGAGACCTGTCCCACCTTGGCGTGCGCGGAAGAATGTTTCACATAATCGAAAGTTACCTGTCAAAATGGACATTCCGTGTCCGAGTGGGCACGGTTCTTTCCCAAACATTTGTCCAGGAAACAGGCGTGCCACAAGGTGGTGTACTTAGCTGCACACTTTTCCTCATCAAAATGAATTCCTTGCGCTTGTCCATCCCTCGCAATATGTTTTATTGTACATATGTCGATGACGTCCAGCTTAGCTTTAGATCTTGCAATCTGGCAATGTGTGAGCGGCAGGTTCAGTTAGGTTTAAACAAGGTCTCCAAATGGGCAAAGGAAAACGGATTCCGACTGAACCCACAAAAAAGCACGTGTGTCTTGTTCTCCCGAAAGAGAGGCATGCACTCAGAACCCGACATTGAACTGAACGGTCAACGTCTGTCTGTTAATGCGGAGCATAAATTCTTAGGATTAATCTTGGACAACAAGTTGACCTTCGTACCGCACATCAAGTATTTAAATCAAAATGTTTAAAAGCCATGAATGTTTTAAAAGTGTTGTCACGTACTACAGGGGTAGTGACAGGCAATGTCTCATGAACCTGTATAGAAGCCTCATTCGCACTCGCTTAAATTATGGGGCCATTGTTTATCAGTCTGCGACTCAAAGTGCTTTGAAGATGCTGGACCTCGTGCACCATTTGGGCATCCACCTTTCTACGGGTGCTTTTCGCACCAGCCCCGTAGAAAGCCTTTATGTTGAGTCAAATGAGTGGTCGCTTCATCTGCAGAGAACTTACATGTCCTTTGTTTATTTCCTTAAGGTGAAAGCAGACAAGAAGCACCCCTCATACTGTACTATTAATGATTTGTCGAGCTCAATTCTGTTTTGAAACAGGCCTTCGATGAGGCAGCCCTTCTCAATTCGCCTGAAGGGTCTAGCTGAGGAAACTGGAGTGTCACTTGAACACAGTTTAATAGCTCCTGTAGCATACCCGCCACCGTGGCAGTGGCAGACTATAGACTGCGATGTGTCTTTTCTAGAAGTTACAAAACATGCGCCTATTGCCCATATCCGAACATACTTCCTGGAACTTCAACACAAATACCCACGTCCTGAGTTCTTTACAGATGCCTCCAAGTCTAACTCCTCTGTGTCCTACGCTGCTGTCGGCCCATCCTTTTCGGATGCTGGCCCTCTTCATCCAGGCACAAGTATCTTCACAGCGGAAGCTTATGCGATACTTGTGGCGGCTAAACACATCAAGCAATTACAAATACAAAAAGCAGTAATTTATACGGACTCCTTCAGTGTGGTAACGGCTCTGCACACTCTTAAAAAACAAAGAAACCCCAGTCCTTGTGTCACTTTACTCCATTTTGTGCACACTCTACACACTCAAACAACATGTTGTAGTGTGCTGGGTGCCAGGGCACCCTGAGATCCAAGGCAACGCGAGGGCGGATCAGCTCGCTACATCCGTCCACGAAAGCACTGCCCCTACACCCATATCAATCCCGGCCCTTGATCTTAAGCCGTATCTCAAACGAAACCTCAGGGACTACTGGCAGAGCAAGTGGGATACGCACACACAAAACAAACTACACATTATCAAGCCACACCTTTGCCATTGGCCACCAGTATCAAAGGCACGTCATACAGAGGTAACACTAACGAGGCTCAGGATAGGACACTCATACACGACACACTCATATCTTTTGTCCGGTGGCGATCCACCATTGTGTGACAGATGTGGTGAAGCATTAACAGTCCTTCACATGTTAATGCAGTGCAAACACTTAGAAACTCTAAGAAAACGTCATTTTTCATTACCCTACGGACAACATATACCTTTACACCCTGCAATGTTCGTCGGTAGGGAACCGCTTTTTAGTCATAAATCATTGTTAGCGTTTTTAAAAGAAATTCATAATTTTCATATCATATACCCGGGCATTCCGTAGCACGACCTCTCCAGAGAGGTTTTTGCTCCGGTGGCTACACAAGAAAGCACTTGCCTCACGGCCCTTGGACGCAAGGGTATGAACGAGGGAGGTACTTGTGCTAATGCCATACATGTCCACCATCGTTTTTTATTATCACCAACTTTTGTCACCTATTCACACCACACACACCTTTCACGGCATGGTCATGATTTTATTACTTGTATGTTTTTACCCGCCTTACCGCGAGGATTTTATGGCCCTTATACAGCCGCTTGTCACAATCATTGTCCATATTTTTAGTAAGATGAACTGGCGCTCTTTGGCCGTGAAATGGCCCTTGCGCCACAAAACTTCAAACATAATCATCATCATGGATAGATACTGAGTGTCAGTCACCTGAGGCACATACCCGCATACCAGTAGCAAATACCCGCCCGTGGGTTTGTGCCACTGTCTGGCAGGAAGTGTTTGACGATGTACTTGGGGGGATTGTGACATTATTCATGTCTTGACCAGCGTCTCGTATTCGTCTAACTATCTTACTCTTTCATGCTAATTTTGGTTCACGAAAGTGGAGGGCGTGACCTTGAGAGCACAGGAACGGTAGCGGCTAGATAGATACATAGATAGGCAGGCAGGCGGGCAGGGCAGAGCAGAGCAGGGCAAAGCAGGGAAGAGCAGGGCAAAGCAGGGAAGAGCAGGGCAAGGCAGGGCAGGTAGGCAGGCTCAAAGTGACTGAAGTTCGCTAAGAAATTCTTCGCATCTAAAAGTATAGCTCCACAGCGGCACAACCGGATACCGCTATTTTAGGATCATCGAGAAGAGAATTTCTTTGTCTTCAAATTTCTCGCTACAGCTAGGTCTTTCATTGAGAAACAAATGTACAAAAAGCAGATGTTCGAAGTCAGTTTTGAGGGCTTCAATTGGCTGCGTACACCATGTTGCTCCAGCATGCCTTGCCACTGTTCTGCTCATTGATCCATAAGAGCATCTTTTACTACTTGCACGTCGCGAGGTGGTGACTGCCTAAAATTGTGCTACTTGAAGATTCCTTGTACTCATGACCATGTGTGACGGACTTTGTTACATCATGATAGAAACCAAAATGAATGAATTCTGACTAAAATAAAAAAAAATAAAAAATAAAAATGACTTTCACGTTATCATTTTGCTGCTCTGAAAACTGCTCCATTTGTCGCATGAGCTTGATGTCTGAATGTGATGTGTTTTTGAGGGATTTAACGGCATACTCACTTCATCGGCATTTATAGTGTCTTGTCTTTTCTCTTGTTTCGGTGTTTACATGCCCTGTGTTTTTCGAATTATAATACTTTGCTCTTATTCAAACAAAAAGTCGCCAGGCTTACAGGGCCTCAGAAAGCAAAACTGCCCATGCCATTGTGACATGTGTGCCCAGCCTTAAATTAGTGGGTCACATTAAAAAGTATAACAACAAAAGGAAACAAGACAAAAAAAGAAACCAAAAACAAACATGGCTAATCTTCCTCTCATAGAAATCTGTATAACACGAAAATGAAACGTGTCTTCATAGAACTTGTGCTTTCTGTGTAGTGTTGTATGAAAGCTTGTACAATTTCTATTGGCATTTTGCAGCTATAGCACCATTTAGCATGGACGCAGCTATATTGATGCCCATTGGCTCGTCTTCATGGTAATGACTACCACCCATGATCATAATTTAACCGTCATGGTAACTGAAGTTTCTAACACATACCTGAACACAGCGTATCGTTAATCGCGCACAAAGATGACACCAGCAAGCACACACTAAACGTTGTTACTAGACATGTGCGTCTTCAAAGGAAGGAAGGAAGGAAAAACTTTATTTGCAAGGGTGTGGGACAGGGGTCATGAGCTTGATTGGTGGGGCCCTAAGTCCAGGGCTCCACTGGCTGCCGCCGCCTGCCTGACGTGACGCAGAAGTGCAAGCTGCACCTCTGGGTCAGAGCTGGCGAGCTGTGCCTCCCATTGCTCGAAAGTATTACGAAGCTTGTACTGACCTAAAAAGGTATCTAAATTTGGTGGTCGTTTTAGGCATCCCCACGAAATGTGGTAGAGCGATGGCGAGCCGCCACACCACGGACACGTCTTCAAAGATCATCAGTTATGAAGAGAAACAGCACGGTGTGCGCTCCTGAAACCAACACCAACGCTCACGCATACTGCGCTCCAGCAAAGCAACATGCAGAGGTTCATATCGTACTTTAGCCACGAACACGTGCCGGTGTTCTTCCTCCTGCAGGCCTCTTACTTGAATGTTTTTTCTTTCCCATTTGGTAGTGTTAATTTACAACGTAATATCTGTGACAGTACATTTTTGAAGTCTTGGTAAACCCTAGCATAAAGCAGGTTCGTGTTAAAATAATAACAAATGAATCGATAAAAAAAGGAGAGAAGAAAAAAGGCCTTAGAGTAACTGCTAAAGACAAACTGTTGTGTTGTGATGTGTTTTGCCGCTATCAACAAAAATAAATGTGATTATGATGTAGCGAAGTTACATAACGTTACCCACTATCATGCCTTCTCTTTCGTCTTGTAATGTGCAGGAAAAAATAATGGCTTACTCGTACAGTCGTGCATTATTACCTGAGCATTCTGAAACTATGACAGTGAACACATGTGCTAAAGCAGTGGTGTCTGAAGCTGACAATTTTTTCAGGTGTCCCTGATGCATGTGTGTGCGTTTAGTATGTGGTGATCTGTCAGTGAGTGAAAAATAGCGTTACTCCTTGCAATGTGGTACCGGCTGCTGCGTAGAGCTGATCATGTATTGCTGATTTGTGAGATATCTCTTCTGAGCAAGTCCTGGTTAGTGTCATTTGTTTTTCCATCCTGTGTGATCATCAATCACTAATTAAAAAACATTTCACACAGAGTGAATTTGTTTCAGAATGTAGCCTGGTGTTTAACACTGGTTTGCAGCCACTTGAGCCATCCTGTTGGTTGTGCAGGGCTTGGAGCTGTACAACACAGCGGAGCTGGAGTACAAGCTGTGTGCCAAGCTTGAGTGCTTCGTGTGACACCTGTGGGGCCACTTCCCTGGCTGCTACTGCTGCCACGGCTGCAAAACCCAAGAGTCAGGAGGGCGCAGTTTGGCACTTAAAGCCAAGCTGCGCATCTTTCCTTCACGTTTTGCGTATGTTGAGTTGGCCACATTTGTTGTGGCAGTCTGTATTGACGAAACGACCTGTCGAAAACTCTGATGGCTCATGCAGGACCTTGTGGTAACTCGAGTTCTTGAGAAAAAGGTAGTGACTGGCCTTCAGACTGCTACTGCTGCCACGGCTGCAAAACCCAAGAGTCAGGAGGGCGCGGTTTGGCACTTAAAGCCAAGCTGCGCATCTTTCCTTCACGTTTTGCGTATGTTGAGTTGGCCACATTTGTTGTGGCAGTCTGTATTGACGAAACGACCTGTCGAAAACTCTGATGGCTCATGCAGGACCTTGTGGTAACTCGAGTTCTTGAGAAAAAGGTAGTGACTGGCCTTCAGACTGTATTTTATGTTTGAAGAAATTTCACATAATTAGATTATTATCCTGATGAAGGAGAATATCTCACAGAGCGAGGTGAAGAGAAAGTTCAGGTTACACTGTTGCAGCATTTTTTGCATTACACTCAAACATCTTTATTGCATCTTACATGAAAATAAGTTCGTTATATGCAAAATTTTGTGATGAAGATATATTCCTAATGCTACATCTATTGCTAGAGTATTCTTCATTAACTTCGTTATATCTGGGTTCGTAATATGGAGGCTTGAGTGTATTTCTCCTTGTGTAATGCATATCTCAGCTGCATTTCTGTCTTCCCACATAGTCATTGTGTGGAAAATCAGTGACCTAATCACAAAATCATGGCTTCTGAGTTTTCTAACCAAGTGATGTTGCCATCTCGCTGTGAGAAAATGGACCACTATTGAGCAAAATGGTTCATTGGCAAAATGTCTCCTGACAAAAAGTGGGGTGTCGGCTCACTACTGATTTGAACAGAGAACGTTTGCATTGTCTGCTTTCCTAGACACTTGTCTCACTGTGTGGGAAGATTGTATTTCACATTCAGTTTGTTGCATGGCATAACAGTTGCTGCTAATTTGATGTCATAGCTCTCCTACTGTAGATAAGAAATGATAGTTTTTAAAGGACAGCTGCATATAACGTGCCAACGCTGAGGCAGAGAGTCTTTGAACATACGTATTCTTTGTTAGCGCTCTTATGAATCAAACATTACGTTTTCCAGCCTGCATTGTTGTCCCGTATAGATAATGCACGATTTCTTTGTGACAGTACATAGAGTAGGCTATTGTAGTGCTATTCTACTATATAACTGTGAGGCATTACTGTTGTCCTTGATATGCACCCTCGTGTTCCTATATTACTTTTCATTTTTTAAAAACACAACAGGAAAATTTTTTTTCATTTCTAATTTGCTTGATTTGATGCAGGCCGTAATTAACATGCAAGAATCGATCGATGACGGCTAGCACTTTGGAAAATGATTTCATTGCATGATGCAAAGTTCAATTCATTGCATTTCTGTTGGTAGATTCATAATTGCCCTCACTTACTTGCTGAAGCACCAAATTTTAATATAAGTTGGTTTTTTAACTGAAAAATGTGAGAATGATTATAGAAGACTACCTGTCCATTTTTCACATAAGTTCAAGTGAATTTTGTGTACAAAGTACTTGTTGGGCAGGCGGCAGTGCAAAAGGATATATGCTTCTGAGCATTCTAGTTTGTCTGTAAGTTCATCTGAGTGGTTTCTTTCAGGCTCTCTGTAGGGCACTGGTGGCGCACATTGCTTTGTATGAATGGATGAGTAACTTTACTAAATTCCTTCGGTGGGCGAAATCAGTGCTCAGCGGGCCACTCCCAGGTCGGGAGGGAGGATCCTTGCCTCTCTGCCATGTCGCGGGCCCAGTGGACAGCTACTTTGCAATGTGTTGAAATCCCCCGCTCCAGGCACAGTCATTCTAAGTGCCACGCTTCTGCTCAGGGCACATTCTTGGCCTCTCCATTACATTCGGAGAACTGTCAGGCCTCAACAATATTTAGCCCACATTATGTCTCTGTGAGACAGTGAACATCTTTTACTCTTATCATTGAGGAGTCCCTGTATGACTTGAGGAGGCATACTGGGGCACAGTATAGAACCTAACAGAAGAGAGCAGGGCCTGTCTGGAGTCATACTCCTTCAAACTGTCTGCTTGATGCATCAGTGCCAATTGATGCTTACTCGCTCTGCGATGCTGCAGTCTCTAGAGCAGGAAGCGTACAGTTATTGAGTGTGGGCAGATTACACACCCATTTTCACGCGCTGCTGTGGTTGACTGCGGGTGGGTGATTTGGGAGAGTGAGTCATTTCAGTTCTAGCTCACAAAGCCGGCATTTCTGATGCTTCCAGTATTTTTCACCTGGCACCACCTTTCACCTAATGTATTTGGGGTGCAGATAACAGCATAGATGAACGCAGCAATGAGTAAGTTGTAATTGCAATCCATGTCTGGCTCCACTGCATCTGCTGTCAAACAGATGGTTGCTGATGAACGTGTTGTTTCATTTGGTTGTGCATTTCCGGGTTGTTTTTGCCTTCTCCGGGACAAACCTGAAATGTAAATTATTTGTTGTTGGACCCTGTTGCTGAGTTTTGAGTTGAAGAAAATGCTAGTGGTATGCAAAATGAGGTTAGTGGCCTCGTTGTTTACAAGCATATATTCTAGTCACTCTTTTGTTAGTACTTACTTTGTAAGCATAACCTGTCTTTTCTTGACACAGGTGCATTTGATTTGTAAATGATGGAACACTGTGCAAAATGCACTTTGTGCTCTATTTTAATATGGTTCCTGTCTTTGTTTAAGAGTAATGTGCATTTATTTTAGAGCTTTGATTTTGCCCATCATAACAGTGCAGTTGAGGGTTTGAGGGTACAGTGGCTTGTGCACAGGGAACGATGCAGGGCTTTGTTTAACTCAATTTTTCTTTTTTCTCACCTGTTATTGAATGCATTTTTTCATGTAGCAATGTAATAGTGTGCTGTTTGCTTAGGATTCATGTTCAAACTACTTACACTGTACAGGTGGGCAGGGGCAGCTTGGGAATAATATCGCTCTATCCACTTATCATCATAACATTTATCCAGGTGTGCTTATTCCTAGGTAAAGTGAAGTAGCTGGGTTTGTTCTTATATGTTATGTAATATTTTTGGTAAGTCTAAAAGTTGAAGTAAAATTTGCAAGAAAAATTTACAGATAACTACAATGCCATATGCCAGTTTGTTAAATTGCTCGTGTAAATTTTCTTCCATTTGATGTGGCATTTCAACCTGATAAGAAATACTGAAAACATCAAGGCTAACCCAGGTATTATTGTTTCAGAAGGCATAGCTGGTACCTTCTGTAGCTGGTACCCACTACAGTGAAACCTTGTTAATACGAACATCACGGGGTCACCAAAAATATTCGTATCGCCCAAAATTCGTATCACCAGAAAGTATCAAAAATGAGCATATGCAATAAAAAAATGCACGCGTACATTTTTACTTATCATTTCTCAGTGCCACAGCAATGTCACGAAGAGATCTGAGTGATATTCAGTGAGGCATTTAGATATTAACAATCATTCTTGGACTCATAAATATAAGGTGTGTAATATTACTGAGCCAGGTGTGTTTTGACATGCAACAGCTTATAGCCCCTTCCTTATTTTAGTATGCTTTTTCACATTACTCCAGAATACTGTGACAAAAGTGACAGAAGGAGATCTTTTGGAAGATTCACAGCTGTGCCCGCACAATCAGAGAGTTGGCACTTGTTCGCATCATCAACAATAGTGCATGTCGATGTTGTGAGGCCTAGCTGATCCGTCACCAATACTGCCTACTTCCTCTATCGGTCCTTGTTCTGCTTTCATAGGATCTCTGATGTCCGAAACATGGCTTGCATCATCATGGAAGACACGTGTAATGACAGCATCACATGTCGACGTGTTGAAAAAAAAAAATACATGACATCAATGTTACATGAAATCTAAAGGCAAAGCTCCATGAAGTTGCATAAGGGCCTGTGAGATTCGCACACACAATCTGAGAGGCTACAACACCTAAGTGAAGGCTAATTACATCGTGTTTTATTCTGATTAATTGGCAGCATGGCTCGCATGCCCATGCTTGAGTTCTCATGCACAGGCAGCGTCTGTTTGTACCTTTGCGGTAGCATCTGTTCATATCAAATGTCAAGAGGTGAAAATCTGTTTGCAACAACCGGATTGTATTACATTGCTGGCCAATGGGCAAAGAAAGATACGTATCACCTTCAGGTTTGTACAAACCGTGATTGTACCACCAAGGTTCCACTGCACTTGGATGTGACTGTCATTGAAAGCCTGGTGGGTTGTTTTTCATACAGGGATTGAAAAAGAGGCGTAAAGTTATGCAAGAGAAGTATTTCGATGTACTAAAGAGTCAAATGCCTCTGCAGATTGCAGCGCTGTTCATAAGCTTTTCTTTTGCTGCATGTGGCACAAGAGTCGTCAACTTTAGAACACTGGGATCAAACAGAACTGAAGGACAAATGCAACTGTGAGCTAAAATAGTATATATTATTAGCAAGTGCATACAGTTTAACCTATAAATAATCTGTGAGGCCCTTGCACATACCGTTCAGATCTATAATTAATCACCCTGGCTTATTTGCTGGCGTATAACCTTTCAGCAGGTAATACCACACTTACTAGTGTGCATTTATTGCACTCTGCTTTATCTAGCTTTTCTTGTTTTGGGTTGTTTGAACAATTTACTTTCCTATTTATGACAAAGGGGGAACATTTTCATTTGTTGTTGAAGCTTAAAACTTCTCACTGTGTCATCAAAAAGTTCTCTTACTTAAGCATTGCCAATAGATATATTTGCTCGACTCCCACGTTCAGTCATGCATGTAAGATTGCAGGCCGTTGTCAGCGTTTCAAGTTTTCTGCAGATCAAGCTAACCATGCTTCAAATTGTTTCCATTATTAGTACTTGTACAAATTGCATCTTGCACAGGCAAATTAACAAAAAAATCTGAAAATAATTTTTTATTTCATATGCACTTAATTAGCTTGTCATTATAGTTCCTGCACATTTTACATAACAGGAAGTCAACTTAGGGTCAGTTGCTTAAAATCGTTACGACGAAACCAGAGGTTTCAGGTTGAAAATTTTTCTGCTAAAATTGTTTACCTAGCTCGCACCAGTCTGAGTTACTTCTGCTGCCATTGTTAATAGCTGAGGATTTTCACGAAAAGAGTGCTAATAAAAGTGAGCTTGGTTGTTTTATTATTTTTTTTTTTGCAGTTTGCCATTTACAGCTTTTTGTTTCCTGAAAATGTGGCACAAACTCTCTCTAAAAGTAGATGGCTTGTTTTCCCCATGTTTGGTAAAGTGCCCCTTTGCTGACACACGAGAAAAATTTGAAGGTCATTGCACTGCGTATAAGGTACAGAAAAACCACTTACGAAAGGCACACAATGCGAATAGGTGTAAACTAACTGTTCAATTTTCTGTGAAGCTCAGCCTGGGGCTGAGTTTGAAAATGAAAGAAAATATAGAAAAGGGAAAGTGCGAAAGTACGAAGTTGAGAAAAACCATAATGAAAACATACTGCTGAAACAGTTCGTCACGAAGGGAGCACGTATTAAGACCTCTGTGTGCTCAAACAAGCTTGGCATTCACACTTTCGCTGTCAAACTTCCCAATCTGCTCATATGCATAGCTGTGCTCTCTTAGTCTGGGACATTCTTGCGGGCTAGTTAAGTTATTACAGCGTATGGCAGTGCTTGTGTCATCTCTTTGTGTGCGTGTGCTCTGCCATATGGTTAATCAGGAGTTAAGGCCTTAACACCAGACTAACAGAGCACTCTAAAGAGTTAGGCTCTGTCAGAGATTTGGTTTCACGTGCCACCACAAATGAGAGAAATTCTGCGTTTACTCGCGTAATGAACGCACTTTTTTCTCGAAAAATCAGAGGAAATTTGAGGGACGCATTTATTTCGCGAGGTAAATTTTATGAAAACCTTTTTGTAAGAAGCCAAAAATGTGATAATGAAAAAAAAAAGTCAGGTTGCTTAGCCTTTTGCAATTGACATACGCGTACACTGTGAGGAAATAGCTTCCTTGTTGCATTTCACTCATCTTTGGTGGTTGATAGCGCTTTCTTCTGCAAGCTGTCCCCAAGCCGCCCACGCAAGCCATAAAAGTGTTTTGCGGCTATCTTTTCTCGCAATCCTTTGACTGCAACAGTGCTTTCTGCTGTGATCTCGAAGGGTGCCCAAAAGCATGCGACGCACTTGGCCAACTTCGTGGCAACCTCGCACGATGACCGTGACGACGCCATCAACATTGTAGCGAATAACCAATATTGCAGCAAGCTACCCCCGAAGCATCAAAACAAACCGTCAATAACAAGATCAAGGACAAAATATGGCCCCCGCCTCTCTTCTACATAAGAAGTTCCTGTACGCGCAGATAACAAGCGAAACGAAAATCAGGGGTGCTACCGTGTTGCGGAAATCATCACGATATTTTCTGGATGACAAGCAATTTTTTCTGGTTTTCCCACACGATAGCGACGAATGACCCCTCGCAACAGCAAATCATGTCGTCGTTGCTCGAAAATCGCATGCACATAGTTGGGTTTTTTTAAACTTGCTGCCTCAGTTGGCGCGGGCACTTTCCTGACCTTTGTTTGTTGTTTGCTCATCAGCTGCGATGTCTACACTCGCACCATTCGTGAACCCCGCTGTAGTGCACAGATATCACGGGGGACGTGCCACACACAGATAGAAAGAAAAACAATATGACACGCGGCAACGGGTAAAGGGGGAGTGAGGGAGTGAGCCGAGGTGGTTCGGCAACATAATAAAAAACGAAAGAGATCCAATGGGTGAAAAGCCGCCAGGTGTCGGTTATTAGCGGGACTGCAGTCGATGAATGTAGGTAGTGCGTTATTAGGCAGTTGGGAAAAAAAGCTAAATTTTTATGCCTGAAGTTGGTGGTGCGTTTATTATGCGAGTGCGTTCATTACGTGAGTAAACACGGTACTTAAGGCCTGCAGCATGTTATCGGGAGAATTCAGTATATAAGCATGTAAGTAAGTACTCCAACTTTTTTGCTAAATGAAGTAAGAACTAAAGTATTGAGGGACAAATTCTGGCGCTTCCGCTAACACGCTGTGCAATTATGCTTACACATCCTGATGAACCATTTCACTGTTATGTGTTGATTTTGCTTTTTTTCGTGGTCATAGTGTTACTCTCGCCCTTGTTTCCTTTCCGTTTTTTGAGCACATCTTCAGGTGGCACTTCACAAAAATTAAATAGTTGTTAGTTTGCGTCTATTCGTTCTTGTTGTGTTTTCTGCGCTGTTTGGGAGTGGGTTTTTTTGTGTGTGCGTGCGTGTGTGCAGTCTTATGCAGCCTAAGGTTCTCTTTGCTCTCAGGTCTAGTCCATGTTCTGTTGTCGACAGCATTCTCAGGGCAGCTTTTTAAATGACTGTACTTAAGGTGGAACGACAATCTCGCATGTATTCTCTTTCACACTACTCAGGACACTCATGTATTCAAATAAAGATGCATAGATAAAAAAGAAAAAAAAAGTGGAGCACATTGTGTTATGTGCTTTCCAACTCCAAGTACACATTTTTATGTCATGCAAATTATTGGCAAGCATGACTATAACAAAGCAGAAATCAACCTGCCTTGTTAAGTTTTCCAAAGATCTGTAAAAGAAAAAGAAACGTTTCAGCATAGAATATTTATTTTGTGTATAATAAAAAGTACGCTCAATCTAATGCTCTTCCTTCTGTGCTTTATTTTAAGCGTGGTTTTAATAGTTTGCATAAATAAGAATAGTCATTTGTTGTTTTTATTGAACTGCTAATAACTAGTGTGCTGCCATAGTTGTCAAAGCACAACTGCATTGACTTGGTGCTACTGTAGGTACATCAAGTGTGGAAAAGTCATTTGATGCTTGTTTAATAACTGATTCACTAGCTTGCTTTCGAAAAGGTTCAGAGACTTCACTGCCCTCTCTGTACAGGGTGTGTTGCTTTGGCGTGTTCATCAGTGACATAGTGCACACAGGCGAGTGAAAGTTTGCCTTACTCCGCATGATGTTCATGCTGCAATTATGGAAAGGTACTCTTTGAAAAAATCTGCATTTGTTAGCTTTGTTCAAAGTGACCTTTGGACAAGCTGAAGACCTGAGTGAGCAAGCCTTTGTTAAGTTAAATTTGTATTTTAGTGCTGCTTCTGTGGAACTCGCAGGTGCTTGCGCAAATGAACCTCAAATGCTGCTGAAGATTTTTGTGTTTTATTTCTGACTATGAGACGTCGCTGGCATGGGCGTTTTAGGATGGCAAATAAGAATTGCGCGCTCTTTATACTTTCATTTTAATCAAATATTCGCAAGTGGCAACATTAGTGATGTTCAGCAGTTTTTGATCAGGCTTTGAGGAAAATTATAGGAATTGCCATCTTGTTAAAGCTCACAAAGCTTTTGTCTTCATCAAGCTACCATTTGCTGATTCATTATAGCCCGCTTTCAGACCACTAAAATATTGACCACTAAGGTTTTAACCAAACCAATCAGGCTGCAAGCTTTGTCAGCATTATGTTTATCACAATGAAAAGAATTATGGTACCCAGAACTTTTTTGTTATATTGACATTTCTTTTGTTTTAGCTTTAGATGTTCTATAAAAAAAAGTGTCCTTCTCTAAAGAGAATATTTCCACTCACCAAAATAGTCCTGTAAAAAATATACTTGAGAAAAAAAAAGGACACTGGAACAGTAAGTTGTCCTTCTAAAGAGCATAAAAACGAACAACATAAATACTAGAGTTGTAGGCAAAAACACACGTGCTCACTAACAACTGACGCATCAGCACTTAATGTTGCCGAGAATATATTAGCACTGAATGAATGGAAACACAAGAAGAGGACACACAACACAGGCGCTAACTTCCAACATAATGTTTTATTGCGACACTCTTGACCGCTCATATTGCTCAAGAAAACGTCTTCTTGTTAACATGATTTGCTTGAAGCATGATGAAAAAAATGGTTGATGATGCCTCTTTTGGCTAGCCATTCATTATAAGTCCTGTGGCAGCACATTCCTCTTCAACGCATGTAGTGTAATCAATAAGATACATGACAAGCTTATTAGAGGGATGGTTGAGGCTAAGGCTATCCCATCCCTGAGTTGCGTGTGCATCAGCACTCCATTTCTTAACCTCTGTGAAAGAGAACTGTCGTTCTTAAGAAATGAGGTTTGTGCGCATCACATGTGATGTGGTTTTCTTGAGTGATATGAGTAGTTGAGAGTGGCAATAAAACATTATGTCGTATGTTAGTGTCTGTGTTGCATGTCCTGTTTTTGTGTTGGTTCATTTAGCGCTATTAATCTCGTCTCCAGTATGTGCCAACAATCCCAAATTTCAACAGTGCTGAGTTGTTGTTGCCTCTTGTGCATTTTTTCAGTGCTCTCTTTAGAATGTTGTACTAACTCACCCAGCTATCAAGGCTTCCATGCAAATCAGTCGATTTGTTTGTAAATGTATGTTTTTATTTACTGAAGACCTTGACTGGTTTTGCCACATTGCATGCAGCAAAATAGTAAGTTGGTGATTTGGCAGAAGCAAATCCTATTTAAATGAACCTCAGTAGCTAAATAGAGCAACTCTCCATTCTTTTGACTATGCTTTGTAGGTGAATTTGGCCTATTGAAATTTGCTATAAAACTGTCACTTTGTATAGTGTGCTCTTGCTGCCAAGAACTAGCTAACATGTAACCTAAGCAATGTATCAAGCGGCATTTAAACAAACTGAGTTTTTCTTCATGTTTAAATGTTATGCAACTGACGTTCAGTGGATGGCTGCAGTTTTCATTCTAATTGGCGACTAGCAGTGCATTTTCACCCAGCTGTATGCTTTTAATCACTTCCATAATGAAAGACTCATTGACGAACGCTCTGTTCTAGATGACACTTATGCAGGCCACTTTTTGCTTTTCTAAGAGGGCCTTTCTTTTTTAGTGCAAAAACAAATTCTGAAACTAAGGCCAATTTAGAGCCTTAGAGATAACTACTACTCAAAAGAAAATTTGCCGTGAAAGCTTACAACTCATAAAGAATCCTTTGTCTGTCCTAATCATCTTTCATGGCAGCAGATATGTGGGACAGGCCTTAGGGAGCGTTCATATGGTGACCACATGGCACATTGCTAAACTTGTGCACTCCAATTTCAACAGTGCGTAGTTCTCTGCAGTAAGGCCGAAATACAAGAAGCCGCACAAATGGCTAATGTAGTGCGCTGTCAGTTGCCCTGTCTAATCGTCCTATCTAGCACGTGAGAGCAAGAGGCAAAATATCAGGTACAAATTCTGAGTGTCAATTGTCTAGTAAACTTAGGTTTTATATTAGGGTGTCATTATTTGTGAAAGCGGAGTGGGGCAGGCACGCAGTGTGTATTTAAACAACATAAATTTACATAAAAGTTAGTGCTTGTATGTGCAGTGTTCTTTTCACATATTAAGCATTTCTTTCGCAAAACAAGAAATCATGAATTACCACGAACTACCCAAACATGCATGTTGCAAAAAAAGAACACTTTGTAACTGCCTTTTGTATTGTCAAGTTCTACATTACATTGTGTCTAAATCTTACATTTTAAAACAGAGCTAAAAATTATCTAAGGCCAACTCTTGGCTTAGACTGGATGTATTCTTTGAACCCTCATGCGTGAGTTTTTGCTCACGCTCAAGTTTTTTGCATTACTGCCTAAAATGGTTCAAATCTTTTGGATTTGATTGAAAATATGCAGTCCATAGGTTATGTAGTTTGCTTGCCATTTTTACATATTAGCCTGTGTCTCCTGCTCTTGTCATGTCTTTTAGCATTGATGTTTGTAGGCACATAGAGATTTCACATTCAAGGTGAAAAAATTCAAGCTGAGAAACATGTCGCGACATGTGCCTATAGGTTTCTGAACTTTGTCTTCATTTTTCCAAATGAACAAGATTCTACCGACAATCACTATTTCACACAACTTGCACGTAACATAAAAAATTTCCATCCAAGCATCAATGTTATGCTGATAAAAAACTGAAAAGAATGCTTGCAGGCAGGAAAAGGAGTTTTGTGGCACACTCTAGTGTATCGCTGGCTGTATGAATGGCAGAGGAATTTTCGTTGCTTTGCCTTGACTACTTGTTCTCAAAGAAATCCTGTATAATATAGTATGTACACTCTGAAAATGCTTCTGCGCTACTCAAAGTTGGAATATATTAAGTTGTATTCCATATTCAGTGTGTCTTACAATAGATATTTGTTATTTTATGAAGGTATATTGCACTAGCAGAGTTTGAACCTATGCCACAACAGGTATCATTGCATTTCTTGAAGGGGTTCATTCAATTGCGAGTCTTGCCCAATATATTGTTGCATCATGCCTACTGATTTGTCTGCAGATTGTTGAGATGCCATTTGGAAGGAAAAAATTATATGCAAAGTTTGAAAAGGTTTGTTTAGAAAGGCTGGCTGTTCGTAATCTGAATTGCAGGTGCAGAATAATTTACTAAATGATACTGCTCCTGCAACTTCTGGGGTGTTTTCATACTGACTCTGATGCTATTCTTTTATTTTATTGTGGTAACTTTGATTCTTTTGTTGCTTTTTATTTGTATCTTGGCTAGCACTTCGATTTATGGATGTTTTCTTGATTCTACACATTGCACGCTAACAACAAGCCTTAGCACTATTATTCTGAAGCCTTCTGTTTGTCACAGAAGAGTTATGTCGTTCTGGGTATCACTCTTTCTCACGTGTAGGGAGAAAATAATGTGAACATAAGTTGTGTTGATTCTATATGGTCATTGTGGATACCATAGTAAATTGTGCACTTCATAAGATGGGATTGATTTCCTAGCAAAATTGGCTCACTTGCAGAGTGCATACACCCTTGAGGGATATGTGGTGTCCATGCTATTTTATGAATAGGAATACAACTAGTGGCAGAATGACAAGAAGCATCACAGTTATGCTTAGGACTTGTTCAGAGCGGATTATTTCAAAAATAATGCTTCGACTAAAAATTTTCTAAAATTATATGTCGTATTCTTTTACAAACTTTGTCTCTCGAAATGTGTCAACCTCTTAAGTTCTCTTGACCCTTTGCAATCATAAGCCCCTACCCAAATCAGCGCAGTTCAAATCGGAAACGATTTTGCACATTTTGGGCATCTAGCAAAAAAAAAAAAACTCTCGCATACAAAGAAACACCTGTGAGCACATTCATTTGAGAATACTTTCTGTATGCTGTAGGCTGTCAGCAGTTCTTGAACAATGCCCAAAGCATTCATCCAGGTGGAAGCCAGAATTTACACGACATGTCTCACCTTGCTGTTTCTGTACACAGGGCAATCCTTGCTGTTGCCATCTGCATTCTTGTTTATGAAGTGTGGCTCTGAAATGAAATCTTTAACGATGCTGAGATCATCATAAGACTCTCGAAACTCTCGCCTATACAATGTCCACGCATAAAATATTGCCATCTGGTCTTCAATACATGCTACAAGTTCTGTGCAAATATTTCTAGTCCCATTGAAAATGTGTTTATTCAAATTAGGAAGACAAAAACTGCAATTATAATTTAATAACGATGCGGAGAGATGGCACAACTCATCCAAATAGAGAATGTGAGCAAGTTTGCATTTTAAGAGCGTGTGAACGTAGCTGATAATTTCTTATGGCGGCATGCCCCCGACACATGACTGCAAATCGTCAAAGTGCAAGGCTGTGTTGCTTTAATGATATGATCTCATCATCCTTTTCAACGCTAAGCTATGTGCGATTGGACCGCACCCTATAGGGGAGACCCATATCGTGGAGGGTGCTGTGGTGCTGAGTGCTGCCAGTAAATGTGGGGAGAAAACTTGCTCGAGTTTGACCTCTCTGCTGTCTTCTTCAATCTGCTTTAAAAACTCGTTGCTTTGCCCGCACGGTACATGCGTTCTGCACGTGTTTTTTTTTTTTTTAGCTTTGCATCGCACGTGGTTAGGATGTACATGGTACTGTCCGCATTTGAAAAGATCGGTACAATTTAGGGGGGTTTTTTTCGTGGCAGCAATTTTGTGAAATGTCGGCATAAGCTTAGCCATGTAGCAGATGCAGAGAAAGTGATACCAGATGGCGCTGTAATCAAACCCTATAAAAACATGTGCGATAGCAAAATGCCTCATTTAATAATCTAGTATTTTTGAAGTGTACAGAAATATTTCATATGAGAAATTCACGGAGATGATATTTATGGCAATTTATTTATCAAACATTTTGCCTAGTACATTGCAATGTGGTTGTTGCTAACCATGTTCTAATCTTACCCATAAAACGTGGTGGTTGGATAAGTACCCTTCTATTCTAGCCTCACTCTATAATTACATGCCATTGAGACAAATTCTTGCTGACCATGAGTTCAGGAATCAACTGTCTCAAGAAAATGTTTTACTAAGCACAGTCAGTTATACACTTCATCGTCTATCATACCTTTGCGCCGTTTTTGTGTGAAGTGCCCGTTTTTTGTAAGCTGCTTGAAAAATTGTTGGCACACATGAAGGGCCCTGACCTGAGTCATTTTTGCTGTTTCCCACAGAATGGTTGCTACAAATTATTGTTGAAGCTTATGGCAATCACACACTTCAATTGGTACTGTGTACATATAAAAAATATGTATCCTCACATTACAAATACACATGTGTTCACAACTTCAACTTCCACATCTTCAAGAACATCTCATAATATTAGCAGCATAAACATAAATCTCTGTACCTTCTTAACAGGGCTCAAAAGACGAAAGTTGAAAATATTATGGTAATTTGTGCACTTAGGATATGGACGTGTATATATGTCTCAGTAACTTGAGAGATTATAGGAGTAGTGATGCAAGAATTAACTTCCGTTATGTTGAATTCTTTGTGCACATGGTCATTTTTATAAAAATTTTAACTACATATTTTTGGCGCACTGCTGTAATCTATCCCTGTTGTCTACATTTTTTGTACCATCTGTTTGGTAATCCGTAGAATTTCACTGGTGGAGTCGACCCCTTCGTGTTTGCATGGCCATTGTGACAGTTGACGACGCAGCAGTGAGAATTCTCTTCTCTTTGTCGCGGTGACATCGCAAAACAAGGGGTGTGTCACATGCAATGCATGCTTTGCAAATGCATGCGGACCAAAAGGAGTAGAAGGTGCTGAGACTCTACAGTTGTACATTTTTTCTGGCAGGGAATTGGCAGGCACTGGAATCCGTGGGCAAACTTGAGCGGGTCTCCCCTGTAGTGTATGGTGCATGCATTTGTACATAAAACCCAACTGGTGCAAATTCCTGTCCAGTTACACAGTGGTTGAGCGAGATGCAAAGCAGCAAACAATTGAATATATCAAATGGGCAGAGCCTCAGAACCAAAGTGCTGTGAGAATTGCAGGAAACAGTGGAGCTTAAAGCTTGTCACTCGCACGGTAAGCTTGTGGAACTGATCACATAAAAGTCATGGGCATCCTCTGGATACCTTGGCTTATAGCTCACTATGATGGCATGGGCATTCTCTGGATACCTTGGCATATAGCTCACAATGATGGCAGTTTAAAGTGCGTACCAGTAATAACATCGAGTATGTTACAAATCTTAGCAGGGAGATTGTGGGAAACACTGGCAGAAACGTCTTCTTTTAAAGAATGAAATCAAAATTTTGTGCGAGTTTAAACTGCTTGCAGTGTACAATTGCTGTTAGAAAATGTTGTTTCTTTTGCAAGGTTAAATAAGTCATGCTAAGCCTCTTTTTTTTTTTTAATGCCATGGCAATTATATGAACACCCTTGGCATGTTTCTGCTATGACTATCTCGTCATTTACTGTTTAAACTATAAATGTGTAACATCACTCCGCACATTGTACATTCTGTGGGCTAATAAAAGTGTGGGAGGGCTGGGGATGAACGCTATGAAGCAGAGATGAATTGAGCCTGCCATCTTTGTCACACAAAGGGTGCATGCAGAAACACCGCCCCAATGCACCTCAGGCAGGAAGGATATGCCCCACCTGTTTTCAGTTGGGCAAAGGAGCGTGAACAGAGGAGCAACTGTGAGGTTTGATCATAAGGGCGCGGTCACAAGCACTGGCACATGCTATCCAATCAGACATCAGCACATGGCTCGTATAGGTGCTATGCTCTCGCAACTTAGTTAGGTCACAGACAGCACGAAAAACCACTTCACTCCTTGAAAAATCCACATTGGCTTAAACCAGCATTTTGTAGAGCTACGCGAGATTGAATCCAAAAGTTAGCCGCCAGAATTGTATAACATTCATTGTTTCGCCTTTGCAGGGAAACTGTAATTTTTTTTCACAGATGTAGAATAGAGCAAGTCGTGCTGATTTTCTTGTCTTGTAATGCAAATAAAAAATTTCGGAAATTCACAATAACCCTTCGCTCTAACAAAGTGAATATTATGGTGATATGAAATGAAAAATTAACATGTACCTGACCGGGAAACAGCAGTAAAAGAAAATCTTCAGTGAGATCCTTTTTTCCGTGTAGGCGGAATGAATTTCTTTAATTAAGCTCCCGCAATTTTGTTTGATTTTGTAAAAACAGTTTGCCAGTATATGCAGCATATTTCTCTAATGACAGCTAGAATTCATTACATTCAAATAATCTGGCTATGCATATGTTGAGTTTACATGCTCAAACAAATTATAATGATTAGTTCTTTTTTGCAGTGAAGCATAATAAAGTCAATGGCTAATTAGAAATACACAGCCAAGGGAAGATGCTGCAACTGATCGTTTCTCACATGTTTCTGGCTTGACCTGCTTGACAAAATGCTCATTAAAAATAATGATAAGATCACTAATGTTTCAACTGAGTATATCTATTTTAAATCAAAATTAGTTCAAAAATTTGGATTTTAAAAACTGCATTCTTCATGTGTTTTGGCTGAATTACTGACAGGCCACATTTCTGCCTAATTTTTTAATTTAGTTTGAAAATTGTGCAGTACTTTCTGCTATGCTATTATGATGGTCAAACAGCCTGATTCTATTTTGCGGGCTAATGGGACTGTTTAGTTTTCAAGACATGTCACAAAATAAGAACATGGCAGCTTGAGCGCATATGGAGATGAAACTGATAGCTGGTGTGCCTTTCAGTTAGCTTATGTGCTGCATTGGATATTTTTTATCTTTTGTACTAATGACCTCATTTAAACACTATTTGTATACTGTGAGGCTGACAATCAGGGTTGTTAAGAACTCTTTCTCATTTTAGATTCTCTGAATAGCAAGCATTTTCAACTGCATGCTCTCTACTTACCGCAGAATATTTTTAAATGACGTCATTTCGTTGAGTTGTCATGAAAATGCTCTGCTGTTCTGAATGAACAGCAAACATTTAACATTCAAGACCTTGGTGGCAGTTTTAAACAGTAATCCCCTATTAAGTCTTTCAGTGTCCCACCTAATTGAAGATTGAGATGTTTGCTTATTCTCGCCATCATGTATCTTGCAGTCTTGCGAGTTGATCAGGCAAAGTGTTTTCTTTTGCTTTGTTTTTAATGGCTATCCTCTTGCTGTACATTGCATACTATGAGTCCGTATTGTGTCTGTTGCAATAGAAGGAAAGTACCTACGATTGGGAATGTAAAAGTTTTCAGTGATAGGTCTTGAAACTTTGTCTTTGATTCACTTTTTCACTAAACTGTTGAAAGTGGGGAATGTTTAAAAATTAACAAGAACTGTCGCAAAGCTAGTAAAATGTTTGTTCCTACTTCCAAGTTTCCTGGACAGATCAGCAGACAAAACAGTGCTGATGCAAAATGAAGCCGTGATTTCTTTTAGCTATCTTCGTACCTTTGCTTCATTTTGTTCCACCTGGTATAAACCGACTATGTTGACTTCGAATATTTACTTCGCATCGGAAACATATTAGGTACTGGGTCATTTGTGGGACCCGTCTCTTGCATGTTGTTGCATAGTTGTCACATAGAGCAAGCCTTTGGTTGGAAAAAGTGTGCTAACATGAGGGACCCCAGTGGCAACTTGTATGCACCACCTTACTGAAGATCGCACAAGACCAATCTGCACAAACAGCTACCAGTATAATGTATGATTTTGTATTTAACTTCACATGCGAGGCATTACAGACCACTCAAGTGTCTTTTTACTTGAAGGTGCGTGCTGTCTTGGTGACTTCCAGGTGAAGGTAATGTGCCATTTATCATTTGTGGTGGTGTCGTAATTGCCGCCACCAACTAAGCGCTAACGATCTGAAGCCAGAGCTTGAAGACCGTATGCCTGCCAAGCCATAATATATTTTGTTGTGGCCATACGAGAGAGACCCACCGGCATGCGGCACAGTTTCCCACTGCTGATATCATCCACATCAGCAGACCCAACTTGCGGACCAGGCTAGTCATAGTGGAGCTACAGATACAGTTAGGTAGATAACTAGACAGATTAAACTGATGTAATATGTCTGCATGGTGGTCAGCGCTCACCCTTTGCGAAGCTCTAAGGTTTGTCTTATTTGCATTGCAAAAAACGGGTCTTCCAACCTCTTAGGCATACAACAGGTAATGTTCATATGTGCAGTGAAATCTGGTGTGCAATGTATTCAATGGCTTTTTGTTGGGTTCCCTCTGGCTCAACCAGCAATGGAAAATTAGTTTTTGTAGAAAGTGGAAGACACTTTGGGAGAAGTATATTGAAAAGCAGAGGCTGAGTGCGGCCACAATGCAGTGACGTGAAGGAATCGACCTTTTCTACACGCATTTAGCAAAGGTATTTTTCGAGTATGTTTGTTGTCTATTCAGGAAACAGTGTAGGATACTTTTTGGCAGTGTGTTTCATCCCCTGATGATGCGGTATGCCTCCTGCCCTTGTAAAAAAAAATGTTTCATGTGCTTGGCTCCTCTGTTTAGGCCAGGCTTGACTTGTTGATAGCTGTGCCTACAGAAATGCATACAGAAACAGGCACTGTCAAGTGAGTTTTGAGAACGAACAAAACGACATGCAGGCATTAATGGGTTTTTTAATGGCTATACCTGTATTTTGCATGTGTCCATAATAGGACCTCGAAGAGTGCTTTATACAGTGGATTAGCTGCACTCTTCAGTTTCTCTATTGGAAAAAAGAAAAAAATACATTTGAGAGCTGCATAGCAGTCTTGGATGAATTTTTGGTTGAAAACGTTGCATTGTCTGCTTCTGTTAACCATTTCTTAGACACAACAGTTAGAGCCATCTCTGGCCACTTGTTTGAGAGTTCCTATATTAGATGGTGCAATGCTGCCATTATGTTACAGAACTAGTCTTTCAGAAAATATCCTTACAGTCCATTAAGAAGTAGCAAGAATGAAGTTGGTGCTTTTGAGCTTGCTGTCAAGGTTTTGTGGTGCCCGCTTTTATGCCTTGTTATTTGCTCTACTGTTTTGTGTACGTAGTGTCTTGTGCACTTGAAGACAAGTATATTAACAATGTTTTCAAACACCAATGGCCTTTTGTCTTTCTTGTGAAATTGCCCCAGTGCCACGGTGTTAGTGGCATTGTGGTAGTTGTGGAGCAGCTGTTTCAATTACATTGTTGGTTTCTCATCACTACACACAAAAAAAAAAAAACAATTCAAGGGAGCTAATTTGTGAGAAATTGTTTCGTTTCGTTTTTGCGATTATGATTTGTCAGATTATTGTAGCGAATTTTTCATAGTACTGTAACATTGTAAACAACGGTATAAAATGAGGTAAGCACTACCGTATATACTCGCAAAATACCGCGATTTTTTTCCCGAAGAATCGAAGCAAAGTTGAGGGTACGTTTATTACGCGGGGCAAACTTTATGAGAACTTTTCCGAGATGAGCAAAAAATGCAGTAATGCAAAAAAAAATGTTAGGGAGCGTAACCTTTTGCGGTTTAGATACGCGTAAAATGCTTAGAAACAGCTTCTGTGATGCGCTTCGCTCATTCTCTGGTTGATGATGCCATCATCGGCAAGCTGTCTCCCGCGCACTTCATGGAAGAAGGAAAGCTGAGGAGAGGCCTTCGCCATGCGAGCTCGAGAAGGAATAATGTGGCAAAGTCACCTGCTTTTGTTGGGGGATTGTGGGACTAAGAGGGCACACCCATAGAGTTGGCTAAATATACATTAGAATGATCTCTGGTGCCAGTGTCTACGGAAGCTGCCAAGATAGGGTGGCTAAAATTGGGAGGTGTGAAAACCGGCCGCTGCAAGCAAACCTTTTATTCATAGATAAACCACCGAAAAATTCTTAGATTCGAAGAATTCCTAGATTATTCATCAGGGTAATTGATTCTTAATAAAATATTAGGATAGTTTGCTTGGTGGCTAAGTTATTATAAATCTTGTTAAAAGTAAAAATCGCCATTAGCGATCTTTCAAGGTTTTTTTCTACACATTCTGTACAGTTGTATATTAAGTGCTTGCAAATGTCACCTGTTGCCACCGGCACTGATTTTCATGTCAAATGCATTTCCCACACGCATTGACGACATAGATGTGATCGTTCGGGTCAGTCGTAAGTCTGTAGCGCCTTGTACTTGCAGCTTGACAGCTGATGGTCTCTTCTTAATTTTATATATTTTCGATATCGCTGCTGCAATACTTTCAGCAGATGTATAAGTGAGTGTTCTATTACTGATTGATAGCTACACCTTTTCTCGTCATTTTTCACTGTCATATGCTAAGGGCATGACTGAAAAACTGAAACACCCGAACAGTCTCGTCTCTTTACACCACATCGTTCCTGCAATATGGACCCCGTACGACCTTACCAAATCTTCAGTCCTACTTTCACTCGGTTCTATAATATTCCTGGGTATTTCACATGGAGACATTGCCTAGTGAAGGCATGCAGTGAGTGTAATCTTGACACGTTTATATGTGCACTACAAGACAAAATTTAGCTTTGTATCACAGTACAGCAATCACTCGGGCAGCTCATGATATGCTTTAAAAAAATTCCTAGACTCAACAAAAATAGATAAAATCTCAAAAGTAGCCTAAAAATCCCTAGATCTAGGGATAAATTTCGAGGGTTGCCATCAATAAAGCTAGGCTCCTAAAGCCCCCCCATGCATTTTGGATGCGATGGAGGGGCTTGGCTTTACAGGCTCTCATTCGCGATCCGGCTGTGGTGGCGCTGTAGTCAGAGGCGCTGCCAGCTTGCTTGGTGTGCTGGTAGAGTATACTAGAAAAGTTGAGTGGCACGGCTGCCACTCAACTTCTGACACGCGGCACACGGAAAGAATAGAGGGCACTGGGAGCGAAGTGGCTTGGAGGAGCAGGACAAATTTTGCTGCGGCGTTGTGTCCATCAGCTGCGTTTCTGCAGAATTTCGACGGCGAATGGCACTGTTTGAGAAAGCCGGCACCTTGTAATTGAAGGAAGAGTGCTCATGCATGGCATCACAGGTTTTGTGCAGCCGGATGGGACCAAACTGTTTTATGTGCATTCGGGTGGGACAAAACTGTTCTTGCGAGAACTGCTTAGCTGTCGCGTTTGCTACGGTGTCGTTAAAACGGTTATACTAAATTGGTTCAACTTCAGTAGTCACCGACACAAGTTTGCACATTGGCTGCATCTTTGAAGTGCAAGTATATTTTGACCTTGCGGAAGGGATAAACTTCAACAAAAGCAGGCATGTTATCTTCACTCGACGCACTAAACTAACCGCAGGGTTCACCAGTTACCCCATATAAACAAAAGCGCGGAAGCAGAAAGCCCATGACGTTTCCAATTTCATTTCTTGGCTAACTATAGCTACTTTGGTGCAAATACAATTGCAGTATGCTGCTTACTGTAATGTACGGGCACAACAGCGAAACGGCCACGTCGCGACCACATCAAAGCTTGTGACATACATTCATAACTTTCCTCTCCCGGCTTTTACCAGGCATTATAACCTCCTTCGAAAGCTAAAGAAGAATTATGTATTTGCTGATTTCTCAGACTTATGTGCTAATGTAACCAAATAACATACTTGGGTTTATTCTACTTTTTAATACACACATGCAAGACGTCAACTCATTGAAATGATTGCTATGGTGGAGGCAGATAAATAAACGGACATGTGCAACTTGTATAATTCTAAGCATGATGTGACAATCTTTATTTGAAAGCAGTGCTTGTACAACATTAAATGGAGAAATGAGTTATCACAGCAAATATATTACAAGGTAACAACACCACAAAGTATATCATGCAGAAAGCAAGAAGAACACAACACAGATTTGCAGGTCTGAAGCTCTTCTCGCTAGACATGGATGGCGGCATTCTTCACACTGTCCCTGTGCAGGATGCCTGCAGATGCTGCTTTTCGCAGTGCTACAACAGTGCTAAAAATGGTTGCAGAATATTTTTTTTATTTTCTTGAGACCGAAAAAGGTGGCTTCAATGGACAATCAAGAAAGATCTAGCGGGACAAGTATACAGCCGACAAACTTATAGCACCCGACTTCGTTACCATGCGAAATTCATTTGTGGGCATACTTCAGCGTGTCTGCACGACTGTTTCTAAGACGCAGACATGCAGTTTAATCTGTTCAAAATATAGGGCATCGTCATGCATTCTAGAAACATCCGGCTTTCTGATATTTCATCACAGCAAGCGAGCGCAGCTTCTTAGAAAATGGACCGACATCAATCCTCCGCTGGATTTACCGCTCTAGTTACAGCAATGGCATAATCTGGAGCACATCGTGTTAATTTCGACGAAAACCTTCAGTACCAACATAAGCACATGAATAGCAGTGTGAAAGCTAATATGGAGAGCGCAAAACAACATGCAATACCGCACGCTTGTGTTTCGACCCGTTGTTTCAAATGGAGGTCCTTTGTACGTTTTGTCGGGCACCAAAATTAGTCATCATCAACATCAGCCTGTCTACGTCCACTGCAGGACTAAAGCCTCTCCTATGTTCCGCCAGTTAACTCGGTCCTGTGCTTGCTGCTGCCAATTTATACCTGCAAACTTCTTAATCTCATCTGCCCACCTAACCTTCTGTCTCTCCCTAACCCGCTTGCCTTCTCTGGGAATCCAGTTAGTTACCCTTACTGATCAGCGGTTATCCTGTCTACGCGCTACATGCCCGGCCCATGTCCATTTCCTCTTCTTGATTTTAACTATGATATCTCTAACTCCCATTTGTTCCCTAATCCACTCTGCTCTCTTCTTGTCTCTTAAGGTTACACCTACCATTTTTCTTTCCATTGCTCACTGTGTCGTCTTCAATTTAAGCTGAACCCTCTTAGTAAGTCTCCAGGTTTCTGCTCCATAGCTAAGTACCGGCAAGATACAGCTGTTATATACCTTCCTCATGAGGGATAGTGGCAATCTAGTTTACATAATTTGAGAGCGCTTGCTAAATGTGCTCCACCCCAGTCTTATTCTTCTAGCTACTTTAATCTCGTGGTTCGGCTCCGCGGCTATTACCTGCCCTTAGTAGACATAGTCTTTTACAAATTGAAGTGCACTATTATCTATCTCGAAACGCTGCTCTCTTCCGAGGTCGTTGTACATTACTTTTGTTTTCTTCAGATTAATTTTAAGACCCATCTTTCTGCTCTCCTTGTCTAACTCCGTAATCATGAGTTGCAATTCGTCCCCTGAGTTACTCAGCAATGCAATTTCATCAGCGAAGCGCAGGTTACTAAGGTATTCTCCATTAACTCTTATACCTTACTGTTCCCATTCTAGGCTTCTGAAAACCTCCTGTAAGCACGTGGTAAATAGCATTGGGGAGATTGTGTGCCCCTGCCATACACTCTTCTTGATTGGTCTTCTGTTGCTTTCTTTATGAAGCACTATGATAGCAGTTGATCCCCTGTATATTTCTTCCAGGATGTTTATATATACTTCGACGCCCTGACTACGCACTGTCTGCATGACGGCTGATATTTCTACTGAATCAAACGCCTTCTCGTAATCTATGGAGGCTATGTATAGTGGTTGGTTATATTTTGAGCATTTCTCTATTACTTGATTGATAGTATGAATGTGGTCGATTGTTGAGTAGCCTGTTCAAAATCCTGCTTGTTCCTTTGGTTGATTGTATTCTAATGTTTTCTTTACTCTGTTAGAATTATATTTGTGAATAGCTTGTATACTACAGAGAGCAAGCTGATCAGTCTGTAATTCTTCAAGTCCTTGGCATCTCTTTTCTTATGTATTGAGATTAGCAGTAAGACGAAAATTAGTAGTAAGACAATTATTCTAGTTCGTGATATCTGTAGAGGTTCATGAAGATGAAATAATTGAAGGAAATCACATTTCTAGGTTATGCATGTGTGCGGAAGTTGGTGGGTATTCGGGCCGGTCTTAGTTCGTTGGATTTCACTTATTTATCGTTCTTTATTTCTATTGCTCACTGACAGAATGCCTTGCAAAGGTAGACTGCCATGTCTGAGGATATGCGCTAACTACAAGGAAGCAATAGGCACGATACTGGTTGCCCCTTACGTCAGAACCAAGCTACAC